TTTTGAACAAAATTGAGATTGTGTTATTAAAGTAAGAGATATTTCAAATATTAAAATAAAAATATTTGGAGCATTATTCATACATTTCATATCATTTAAAATATTATCAAATTCAGATTCATATTCTTCTTTGCTATTATCATTTAAAAATACATTTTTTAATAAATTCAAAAGCAAATCTTTTAATATGAAGAACATATCTTTACTATCATTATTTTCATTATTAAATAAAAATTTCTTTTCACTTGAAAATTGATCATTATTAATTAATATTTCTACAAATCTCATTGGATTTAACAAATGAACGCCACAAATTATTAATTTTCCATTTTCAAAAAATATAATGGTTTTTTGTGTGGAAATATTACCCAAATTATTTTTTAATTGTAAATCTATCTTTCTATTGATATAACGTATTACTTCAGCATTTTCTGACACTTTATCTGTATTGTTTGTAGCAGCAATATGTTTTGTACGATTAAATTGTCTACGAAGATGTTTAGAACGCAATGTAGATCTATATTCATCTAAAATTTTACCTTGAGTAGATCTAATGAGATCTTCTGCAAACTGTAAATTTATAACTGAATTACCAAAGAATAATAAATGAGCTGACAGAGATACCATATCTAATATATGAATTTGACCTTCTTTTTGATATCTTTGGTACATACAATATGCCTGATATCCTACACCAAAACCATTAATACCTAAATTACTTAAAACTAATGCATTGTATGCAACTTTAGCTGCATTGCTTATATCACTACCATTTTTTATAAGTTTAGTAAGAATAACATTTCCACTATTGCTTATTAAACCAACTGCACTGCCAACTATACCTAACCACGAACAAAAGGAATCTCTATTTGTTAATCCTATACTTTGTTCATGAGAGCTTCTATCTATTAAATTCTGTATTGATCTACCAGTTGTCCATATACCACTTGCACCAGAAGCTATTGTCGCACCTGTAATTGTAACAGTAATATTATGCTTTTATTTATTTTATTGTTATTTTTATTCTTATTATATCTTAAAGCAAAAATTAATTTTTGGACAATACAATAATTATATTATTGTCAACATTATTATATTATTACACATTTCTTTTAATTAAATTCTGTAAACTAAATATAAAATACAATTTTATATAATTTACCTATCACAAATGGTCCAATGGGTGTAAAAACAGATGCTATACCCAAACCAACTCCACATATACTACCTAATGTAGAAACTATATCTCCAAGATTAAGAATACTTGTTTTAAATCTACATGCAGGTGAGTTTAAAATTTCCAAACACACTGTTGAATATTCTTCAGTAATTTCATAATTTGAATTAGGATGATAAAATCCATCTTTTGGAAGAACCATTGTACATTTTGGTAAAGTATTATGTTTTATATAATCTATCCAACTTTTATATACTCTAGCATTTATATCAATATACCATGTTTCTTTCTCCATACAAGTTTCATTTGAATGTCTTATTTTAAAAATTGGTGTTGAATATATTTGAATTGTATCTTTCTTCTCTGAATTAATTATTTCTTCTTTTTCTAAAGTAGTTTTTTTATCTGAAATAGTTTCTTTTTCTGAAGTTGTTTCTTTATCTAGAATAGTTTTTCTTTTTTTGGAGTTCTTTTAGCAATTTTTCTTGAATTAGATACTTGAATGAAATTATTTTTAGTACGAAATGATATATTGTAAATTACTCCATAATGTATTGTTTTTTCATCTATACATCCTTCACCATATGCAAGTACTTGCTTATAAATCATATTTATAATATTGTTGGCATCAGATGAATAATAAAGTGCATCAGTAACATCTTTCATTTTTCCATCTTCTCCTATTTCTTTATCTTCAATGTATACATCTTTGTTTTCCTTATTTTCTGATGGAGGTCCAAAAATTGCATATCCAATATTTTGTCTTAAATATTTATATTCATTTGCAGTATACTTTGTCCATTCTGGTAAAAGTTCATAATATTCTTGTTGCTGTAATTTAGCAACTTTTAACATTTCATTCTATAAAATTACAAAATATAATTAATATATATATATATAAACAAAAGAATTAAAATTTCATATATATATAATAATTGATGTTTACCCAATCAGTATCAGAAATTGACATTTTATTTATTTCAAATTTATTCCAATACAATAAAAATACAAATCTTATTTAGAACATATATTTATAAATTAAAATAGTAAAGTTATTTATTAAAAAATTTAATTAAAACAATTTAAAACAATAAAAATTTTATAAATTTTCACATGTTATTTTTTAACTTTAACATTTTAATAAATTAATAATTAAATTAATATTTTTTAATAAATTAATAATTAAATAAAATAATTTATTTATTTTTTAGTTATTTAATAAAAGGATTATATTAATTCTCTCACAATATTAAAACTATCAGGTAAATTATATTTACAGAACAATTATATTTAGAGAATAAATATTTAATCGTCACAACTATATATATGTTCTTCGTGTATCTTTCACTAAAAACTAAAATAATTTGTTTTTATATATAATATTTTTGATTATCTATATTTTATTCTATTAAATTGTATTTTCTATTATATTTTCTATTATTTTCTATTATTATATTATATATTTTCTTTTATTATTACGATGATAACTGTTACATCAATACGAATATTACAAAATTGACTTAAGTATTTATTCGTTTCTAAATTTTTCTAAATTCAATAAAAAATTTCGCAACTTTTTGTAATTAAAAAAAATATAAACACTAATATGAAACGCAATTTGTTTTATAATACTTTACATAAATATAGTTACTTAAAATGTAGTATTTTATTTAAAATGTAGTATATACTATAAGATATTCTATGACAGAATATTTATTTTATTTTTTATTTGTAATTTTATATTGAAATTTATTTTCAATTTCAATTTTCCTATTTTTATGTATCAATCTCAATTTATAAAATTATTTTAAATTGAATCGATAATATTATGAATGCTAAAATGATAAAAGAAATAAATAATATCTATGAATGATACAGGCATGAAATAAAAAAATACATTGAACGTTAAATCTATTCTGTATTTTATTCGTGGTAAAATTATATTATAATTTATAATCATATTTGAATTAATTTTGTATCAAGAATTACAATACCGATATATGTTGATAATGTAGTACATCTGTACATATTGAGAAATTTAACGTACCATAGGCGAAGTGAAAATATTCTGGCACAAAAATATTTAATTTCATATTAACAAAATATTTTAATTTATAACATGTAATTTTACTATATTTTATTTTATCATATTATACTATACTGCATTCTTTTGCATTTTCATTAAAATTTAATTATTAATATCAAAAATAATAAAACCATTATGAATAATTATTTATTTTTAATAAAATACATAAGCATTAATAATTTTAAAATAATATTTATATATATACATAATTATATATATACATTTATATACATAAAGTCATAAATTTAAATGTTGACATTGTAATATTTATATAAAAATATAATTTTATAATTTTATTAATATATTCATACATTTATTTCTTTCTTTTTCAAATTTACTAAATGAATAATATATTTTTTATTTTAATTATTTATATTTATTAATAATATAAAATATTAAAAAATAGAAATTATGTTGTTTCCAGTATTCCAAATAGTCGATAGAGGGAAGTACATTCTTTCCCGCTTTCGATTCTCGAACTAGAGTAGTTAGTGTAGTTCAGAGTGATGAGTGTTCATATTTCATGATTATGACATATTGTACTTTCGTGAATAAATTAAAATATTTATACATATTCATCAATTATTGAAGTTGTTGTGTATAATTTGTTATATTATTTTATGAAAAATGGGTATGTATTAATTTTAAGTCTAAAATTAATTTTAGAATTTTTTATTTTACTGATTGTTATCGAAATATTTTTTAATTATCTGTAGTTTAAAAATTACTATTATAAGAGAATATTTTTTGTAAATTTTATTATTTCTGATAAATATGAACGAATTTAATCTGTATATAATTTTATAATGCATATGAATTGATTAATTTTATGTCGATATCGGTAATATTGGAAATGATACGAAAATTCGAATATATTATATTAAATATTTTATAAAATGTTTTTTATAATTCTTTGTAAGTTTAATTTCCTTGATATGAATACAAATTTAAAAATTTATTTGTTAAATTATAATTAGTTTATTTCTAATTCTGATAAAGTCACTTTACATCTACACATATATATAAATATTTTCATTCTTTTATTTATTATATGAAGAAATAATACATAGATTATGTGTTAGAATATAAATAAGAAATAATCTTTCTCAAAATACAAAACATTATTGAATTAATGAAAATATATTAGTATAACATATTATTTCACTAATATTCAAATATCTTATGTCTCAAGTGTTTCGAGGAATTGCCACAAGATGGCCGCGGAGCGTGGTCGTGCACCTGTAATGACAGCACGTGTTACAGCTGAGTGGCGGTTTCTTTCTTGGAAAAGTGAGTATAATTGTGTTTTAAAAGTGTTTATTGTTTTTCCAGGTTTACCTAATGTTTATCTATTATTGTGTTAGTCTTGTGACTTGAATTATATTTTGAAGTTTCTCAAAATATCAACATATTTTCTTTAAACATTCCTTTATTTATTCGGTGTTCATACACGCATTGCTATTTATTATAAATCGGTAATTAACCTTGGTAGAGAATGATATTTAATGATAAGAGATGCTTATCATAAATGACGTTGTAGAAATATTGATGGAAAAGTAATATTAGTTATGGAAATATATATTTTTAGTTGAAGTGTCGTCTGAAATGAATGAGAGTACGTTTTCTATACTAACCTAACCCCATGTTACATGCGATGAAGCATCGTTAAATGCATGTCATATATGTAAAATGAATTTTTATACAAATAATAAAATGTAACGAGAAAAATATTTTTATTATTTAAGGTATTATATTTTGAGTCGGGATTATTAATATAATTTATTGGAAATTAGTATAATTTAGTGGAAATTAATATAATTTATTGGTTTTTTATTTGTTGTGTAATAATTTTGTTATATAAATATGATTACTTTATTGCATTTTTGTGAATTCTATTTTAATTTTAATTATATGAAATAGATTTAATTAAATCTTTTATCTTTTATTTAATCCATGAATATTATTATTAATAATAATTAATATTATTATTAATAATATTCATGGATTAAATAATATTAATAATATGATAATAATATTATCATTATATAATATAATATATATTTTCAAGAATTTATAATAATAAAATAAATAAACTGCATAAAAAAAATATTAAAATATATATTTAAAATATAATAAAAAATATTAAAATATGTTTGTGACAATTAATCTATATTATATATTTAATTTATTAATGATAATATTTTAATGATATTTTATTTATTAATGAAATTTTCTATATAATATAAATAACTATCATCTATACAATATCTATATTTAGAATATATATCTTTTATATAAAATATATATCTATATAACTTTTTAATATTATATATCTATATAACTTTTATATAAAATAATGGAATATTAATTATAATTTAATAATTATAAAAGGAAAATTTAAATTTATATATATATTTTTTCAATTTTAAATAAATTATAGAAATGAAAAAATAAGAAAATAATTTTATACATTGAATTAATCAAAAAATAATAAATATATTAATTATACTGTTTAATATATTTTTCAATTATCTTTAGACTTGCTATTTATCTGAATCAACTTGTGATTTAATAAGAATAAAATTTGAGAATTTAATAGAATATCTTTAAGTAATATAGCATATAATATTAGCACAATTATTATATTTTTTAATATAATATTAATATAAAATTTTCATAATTTTAGGTGAAGACGAGTGGCGGGGAAGGAATGTTTCGCTTTTACACCAGGAAAACTTGTTAATGTGAGTGTTTTCCAATTTTCTCCATTATTTTAATTTTTTTTAAAATATGCTTTTTATTTATCTTTTTTTTTTGCAAAATTAAAACCGATCTTTAACACACATATATATATATATATTAAAAAATTATCTCTTTTAAAATATTAAATGGTATATATGTAACTCAACATTAGGAAAAAATGATTTATTAATTATTAATTAATAACTTCAATTATTTATTTGAAAAAATAAACTACTAAAGTTAAGATTGACCAAAGTCTTAACATAGCAAGAAATGATTCATTAAATAATTATAATAACTAATAACTAATTCAAATTCATTTACTATAAAAAGAGAAATATTGAAGTTAAAACTATAAATTATAAAAATTATTAAGGTATAGAAATGTTAAGGATTTATTCGTAATAGATCATGAATATAAAGGAAAAATTTGTATGAGCATGAAATTTATCAATGAAATATATTTATTAAAAATCTAGTATTTCCCTACATTTACAGTAAATATCACAGGTACTCGTTTCTCTATCACAATATTCCCTACTCGGCCATTTTTTCCTGTTGATAATATCAATAGGAATACAAATTTTCAATCGATCGTGAAATATAAAAATTAATACAATTGACCGAGGAGATACGTATATAATAACAACAATTTTAGCGCGAGAATGAATGATCTTTCTCATATCGATATAAAGGCGCGAAATTACACCACAATCGACGAGAGAAAAATATCGAATCCGAAAAACGAAGTTTCTCGCGCCAAAATGGACAAAATAAAAAATTCTCGATAAAAGTATGAAATAAACAATAGAAAATTCTAACCGTCAAGTAAATTAAAGCTTCGACCGCTTATGCGGGTGTATCATTACATCGAGATCCTATTAGTTTCAACTTTCTTAAAACATTATTCAATCAATGAATATACAATATATCCATAGAACGACATTAGAAAATAAAAAAAAAAAAAGAAAGAAGAACTTATTTCAATATTATCCCCCCTTAACTTGTTCTTTCACTCCCAAGTGTCTTGAGCAAATAGAAAATCTTAAGTCTATTCCTCTTCGTCATCTTCATTCTTCTTAATTCTATGGTTCTTCGAGAATCGATATTTGCACATTCCATAGGCGTTTCAAAAAATCATCTTCTTTTCGTCGTATCGGTATCCCATAGGATTTTCATAGGAAGAAAAACAAGATTTCCTTTCCTTTCTGGCTCCCAGAGGCGCGCGAATTATTCGCTCAAATCACAGACAAAATTGCAACACCGGTAATGAGTTCTCCACATGGGTTCCTTTTCTAAAATCTTGGCCACGATTGGTCTTCTTATCTCCGAGAGATTGCTATTTCGAGAACTCTGTTTCACCGAGGTATACGATGGCTTTGCCCGTTGAGATCGGTTCTCGCGTTTACCACGGTCTCCAAATTGGCTCGTTTGGTTTAGCTACCTGGAGGAGACCTTGGTGACTCTGCGAGATACCTTCGATGTCCGTTCTAACCGGAGATGGTTGGCTAGAGGCTGGAGTGAGGGGCATCGAATATTCATCCGAACTGAGCTCGCTGCTCGAAGACGGTGAGGATTGTGGAGCGGCCACGTGGATCGTTAACGGGCCAGTTTTGTCCATGGAATTCAGTTTGTGACCCAAGTGGGTCATCAATTTGGTTCCCAAGGCGACGTCCACACCGGGAGTGGCGGCTAGGCAGCGGCTAACTTCGTTGGCGCAGTGAGTGTAACCGGCTCTGAATCGATCGGCGTCGATCACAGGATTCGCGGAGAGCCGTTGTTGCCTCTGAAGTTTGTGAAGATGACGCACGGTCAATTCCAGAATATCGGCCTTTTCCAATTTCGCCACGTTCTCACCGTCGCCTGCCAGGGCAGTTACCATCAAATCTTTGAGCTCGTCCAAGCATCGATTGATTCTTGCCCGACGTTTGCGTTCCAACATAGGTTTCATCACCTGTAAATTAAAAGAAACGAATTGTTATAGAATCGTTCAAAGCGATACCATATCTGATTTGAATGAAAAAAAGTGTAAGAAAAGAAAAATTGAATCTCTATTCGAATAATTTCGTTTCATTTGAAAATTAATTCTTCAAACAAGAGATGAACGATGATTGGAAATATTCACGTACCTTTCTGTATTGATAAGTCCTGGAGATCGGTTGCTCCTGTCCATCAACCATCATGATTTGCTCGTGCATCTGCATGATTAATCCTTTTTTTTATTGATCGAGGGATATCTTCACACACCGAACTTGCACTGATTCAAAAAAACGAATTCGCTTATCGCGATATCACACTTGTCGTTGAACAATGTCTCTAATATCACACAAAGATTTATATATATATATATCAGAATAATCGGTTGAACTATTTCGTGGTTCGCTCGATTCGATGGAAACGTATCGACAGTTATATCCGACGCGTCTCCAGTTCGAACTTCGTGAACGATCACCGTGATTGTGGTGGCTGTCGGGCGAGGCTGTAGCTTATATAGTCAAGGACCCATCGGCAGGGTGGGGCGAGGGGCTGCTGTCAGGGTCCCTAGTGGGGGACAGGCCTTCCGTGGGAACGGTCCGTAGAGGTTGGTTCCCAAGCAAGCACACCACCTGTAAGCGGCAGCTGCCAGACACGCGCCCACACCAAGCCATCGTCACCGTTTCTTCGTCCTCGTTGCACCTATCGCCCGATCCCGTATTTCCTACCTCTTCTGATCCTCCTCGGTTAGTCGTGCCACGGTATGCACGGCTTAATGTTCCTCTTCTCTTTCTCTCTTTGCTCCTTTCGGCTCGCTATTTCACGAACGTGCGCTCATACGGAAGGACCGTAATGTATCGACGCTTGTCCTTTCCTTCTCTCCTCCAAACCAAACTAGCGCGAGTAGAGAAAGAGAAAGAGAAGGAGGAAAGGGAGGGGAGGAGGGAAAGAGAGAGAGAGACCTCTTCTCGTCTTCCACCTAGTCTTCCTCCTTTTTCCATTCTAGTGCCCCGAGGAGGGTATGTATACACACTCGTGCTACGTCTTCTTATCGGATGATCGCGTCCTTGTTCCACCTTCGTGCGGCTCGATCGTTTCGTCCTCGTTTAAGAGGAACAGCCTCGTGGAGCGTGCTGGGCACAAGTCCGGCGTCCTCCCGATCGCAATCCCACTAGTTACACGTTACTGAATCACGGTATACGTGCGTCTATGCTACCAAGTCATCGCGATCTCTCTTTCTCTTTTTCTCTCTCTTTTTTCCTTCTCTTTTTCTTTCTTTTTCGCTTCCTCTCACGCAATTGATCAATCATTTTCCGCCGCGATATTAACTCTGTCGCGTGAGAGACACGCCGCGGATGCGGAGACAAATGTTGCGCGATAAAACTCGACGTTGTGAAAAGGATGTGATGAATCGTTTATTACGGTTGCGTCGCGTGGGCGCGGGAGATCCCGCGGAGGCGGCCACATTACGGAACGGTGATAATTAACGATCGTTTAAACCGCATTTTTCAATGTCTGATTGTTACACACTTGTAATCGATACACATTTTCGGAGGAATCGACTCTGTTCCAGTTTTCTTTTTTTTCCTGAGGTGAAAATATATTTATTATTTTTCGATCATTGGAATATTGATATTTTTTTGGTTTATTGATGATTATCAAAAAGATAATACCGTATTCTTTTATATATTTTTTTATGTATCATTACGTCGAATATAATTCTCGAAGAAACGGTATTCCAGTTTTCTCCTTTTATTTTATTCTTCCTTCGTTATTTTTTGATTGCTGAAATAAATTTGGTCCATTTGGTTTAATTGATAAACCATAATAATTCGATTTGTGTCTTAAAAAGACAGTAATCATATTATATTTCTATATATAAATATTCTTAAAATTGTTCTAATTTTTCTTTTTTTAAGTATACTAATTTTATTTTCAATAGTAGATAGTTACATTATTGTATCTTCATTATTGAAATTAATTTAACAGATTTGATAAAATCGTATTACTTTTTTTTTTTTTTACAAAAATATCTCTTTTGTTTCGTGTATTTTTGAATTTAAAAAAAGGATAATCAGAATTCAGATAATGTACGGTATTTTGAATAATCTGCAAATTTATTTATCGATCCAGGAATTTCCTTCGGCGATGCAATTACGCGAAAACATATGGGTCAAGAGCGATTTTCATGCGTCGATCGCGAATAATCGATGTGACCGTTCGATTTAAACGTATCGAGTTGAGAAGGGAAGAGAGAAAAGAGAAAAAAAGAAGACGAGAGATTTTCAGTTTGGCCAATTGATCGCGGTACGAAAATTGCTCGAAAGTAGCCCTCGGGATCGGATTCGGGGAGGGGGAGGCGAGGTTTAATTTCGCGAAGACGCTTGTAAAGTCGTCTTTCCCTTTGGATAGTCATCGTGCGGAATGAATAACACCGGGAATCGTTCACATGTAGTCGCTGGGAGCATTTCCAGATACTAATTTCGTCTTCAGCTTTTGCTGAATTATATCCTTCGTACCCCCTTCCAATCTTTCTCTATCCTTCTCCATTTGCGTGGCCATTCTTTTCATATTTTTCTTTTCTTCATATTTCTTCTTCTTCTTCTTCTTCTTCTCCTCCTCTTTCTTCTTTTTATATCTCTTCTTCTTCTTCTTTTCTTTTCGCTCCTTCCTGCCAACTACCTCCCTTATTTCCCCGCGAGTGGGGCACTTAAACATCGTTCGCACCGAATAATTACGTGCGTTAGTTTCATCCTTCTTTCCATGTCTTAGTTCCCTCTGGTTCGACCACCTTCTTCTTGCTACCGCGATTTTACGAGGTATCCTTCGTCTTTTTCTTCTTCTTCTTCTTCGTCGTCGTCGTCGTTGTTGTCGTCGTCGTCATCCTTGTCGTCTTCTTCTTCATGTCTACCTTCCTTGGCTTCTTCTTTTTTTTTATTCCCTTCAAACAGCCAATTGCACGTGTCCCTAACGACGCCAGCACCTTCAATAGATCTTACGCGATCCCGAGATAATGCGAAACTTCTAAATCTTTTTGTTTTTCTTGTTCTTTGTTTCATGTTCTACCTTCTCTTTAATCCTCTTGTCTTTTGTAATGTCCAGTGAATTCCAATTAGCCGTTCGTGCTGCGAGGAATAGTTAGATTGAAGTTGTACTTTGCTAGGTGATTTTTCTTGGATAGATTGTGGAAGAGCCTGTATTAAGAAATATTTTGTTGAATGTGAGGGAAATTGTGCAGATATATAGTGTAGATAAGTAAAGAAAATAATAATAATGGGAGGTGTAGCTTTTTTTTAATAATTGATATAATTTTGTAATTTTGTTTTCTCATTTTATATATATATATAGAAAAGCGACGTTGAATAAGAAAATAAATAAATATAAAAGAATAAAAAAGAATGGACTTGATGTCATTTTGCAATTTTCTTGAATAAATGATATTTATTTCAAATGTGTAAGAGTTAAAATAACATCACAACTTTCGGTATCTTTTTTTTTAAATTAATTTAGTTCAAATTTTATAGAAAAGAAAAGAAAAAAAACATTTATATATATATATATAATAAAATTAATAAAACAAGAATATATGAATAGATACATTTGACTAAGATTATATTATATTGTAAAATATTATCTTGATCATTTTTTCTTAGATAACTTGTCTCTTTGCTTTATTAACTATTTCAAATCTTTCTAAGTTTTCAAAGTATAATTAAATTATTATTTTATTCAAATTTAATTATATCCATATTTCTCTGAAACTAAAGATTTTATCGCTTCTCTTCTGAATTCATACATGAATTACATATCATGAAAGTGTTTATTTAAAATTATCTATTGTCCACGTTACAAGAAAAATTTAAATCACAAAATTTATATATTCATATATTCTGCGTGAATTGTGGTCTTGAATTTATATAATATTCTTTTATATGATCTGTAAGGCATTGATTATAATCTGTCTACGAATAAATCACGTGCAAATCCTATGTGTAACGATACACCTTAGGTGGTTTCCTCGAGCAAAAAGTGAAAATGAAAATGGTTGAGCGAAGTCTTAGGGGTGTTTTAACACCGACCATATTGCATGCAATGAAAGAGAAAGGTTACGCGGCCGAAAATTATGATCGTATTGATTGAAGCCTTGAAGTGGATTCTTCTGGTTAAACGGCAACTAGAAATCCAGACGACATTGATGGATTGAAACGAAAGGGTGTCGCGTATTTCTTACATTCCGAAACGAGGCTAACATTATCATAAATGTATTCGATCTAAGGCATAAGCGATTTGCCATACTTTTCTCATATCATTTACAAATTCTTTATTTTCTTTAATTTTTCTTCTTCTACTAATTCTTTATTTTATTTAAAATTTTCTTTGATAATGATGTAAACAGATAGATTTTTAAATCATTGAAAAAATATAATATACTGGTATAACCAATTTTTTTTTCTTTACAATTTTATCAAATTTTTATTCATTTAAGAAAAATATTACGAAAAGTTTTGATGCAAAATTAGCACTTATTGCTAACATTGCATTGAAGTATTTTTTTTTTTTTTCTTTCATGTTCATTTAATTTCCATGAAAATGATTCTTTTACAATCTATAGAAAAAGTGTCGTGACTGTAGAGAATTTCATGTCCCACGAGGACTAACATCGTGATCGACGACAGTCCATTAAAACGATGCAATCGGTGAAACAAACTTTAATGCGGCCACGTGGCGGCTCAATTCCAAGTCAGCTTCCTCTCACGTGCCGTTCATTGTTCGTTGTTTTTACACGATCCGGGTGGGCAGCGAGAAGTTCCGACTGCGTCGGTGGATAATACAAACTTAATTCAAGTCGTCTCGATTAGTCCACGTGTACGATTACATACATTAGAGCATTTGAACGGACGTGCGCACGTGCTGAACCAGTGCATGGCTTAGATCGATGTTACTTCTATGCACATAGCCATGTATAACATTAATATTAAGCGGAAGAGAGTGTAGTCGGATATCATAGTGGACTCGTGGAGTAATTTTCTTCGCTGTACATATGCATTATTCATGTTGCTGAAAAAAAAAAAAAAACTATGTGTGCGATGATGGGACTAATTTTTGTAAAATTATCGCCAAATACGAAATAATTTGATATGCTTAAGTTAAACGATAGGGACTGGATTGTTCGTTTTTAAATCGATCAAATTTTATTCGTTTTTTGTGGCTTCTCGATGTTCTAGTTTTAGTTACATATTCAGAGATAATGCATTCTATGTTAAAATTTTATTTAATAATAATTTCCAATTTTAAAAATCATCTTAAAATTAATCGCAAACAATTGATAATGTATCAAAAATAAAAAACAAAGATATCACAGAGTTTTCGTTATCATTTTATTAAACGAGAGAGAGAGATATTTTTTTTTTCTCGACTAACACACGCTTCAAATTTTCGTGGTAAAACGAGTATGATAACGAAACACGTGTTACTTTAACAAGTTTTCTCACAGCCGCAAAATTTC